GCACACGTTACCCCTTCAGAGCACAAGCTGGCACCCGCAAAAGCATGCAGGCATGCGAAGTTGTGAAATGCGAAATGACAGTCAAAGCTCCTGCGCTGAAATGGCCAGCAGGAAAAGCAAACTCCCGGCAAACGCAATGTCGCGGTGGCGGCGGAGGCGTTGGCATTGGTCAGCGCAATGTGAAAAGGAAGTCGTCAACGCAAATGGACGCAAGGCTAACAAGGCCAGGGCGCGTGGGCGTGGCGGGTCGGGGGTTGCGTATGGCGTCGTGAGTCACGTTCCTGCGAAAACAAAAATTCATGTGCAAATGCTGTGATATGCTGTCCATGAAAAACAAGTTGGCAAAAGCAGTTCCTAGTGTTGACAAATGCAAGTTGCATGCTGCAAAGCTCATGTTTTCAATCAATGTTCCAAGGAAACCCAAAATTTCAAAACAGTGTTTTCAGCAATACAGTGTAAGACCCCAAAGGATGCATTTCCAGTACATAATGAAGTTGTACCACGAGCAAGCACAAGCCAGGCAGGACCCCAAACGAGGTATTTCCAGTACAAAAGTTGTTCTACAACCATGCATGCACAATCCGGCACAAGCCAGCTCGGACCCCAAACGAGGTATTTCCAGTACAGAAGATTGTCTACAACGAAGCCATCGCGAGCCAGGACCCCAAAGGAGGCATTTCCCTGTTAAAGTTGCACAACAACCAAGCACAAACCAGCTAGGACGCACAGTCCAGCCAAACCGCAAAAATTGATTCCAAGGGATTTGTAGCCGGAGCGCACGAAGCGCGGAGGAAGAGGCGGCGTCGTCAGAACCACAAACAAAAGGAAACACGTGTCCGTCGCGACATGTCGAAAAAACAACTATGGTGATCATGCCCAAACAAAAGCATCGAAGATCGTCATGGCAACAAAAAGAAAAGGTTTGCTCACTTTCCAACCAAAAAAATCAAAGGAAGGGCGGATTCACGGATACGAATTCAGAACAGCAAAAACTGTTTTGAAGGAGTTTGCGGCAAGTTGCCAAGGAACATTCCAAAAAATGAAAGGAAGCAAGAACACACCAAACAAAAAGGAACAGCAAAAACTGAAATGGACAAACGCTTCCAGGAGGAGAAGAACAACCAACAAAATGAGAAAGGAAGAACACACGGAAACAAAGGGGAACAGCAAAAACTGTTTGAAAGGAAGCCAAGGCGAACATTTTTCAAGGGAGACAGCCAAAAAAATGAAAGCAAGGGCGGACACGCGGAAACACTGTAGAACAGCAAAAAAACTGTTTGAAGGGGCAAAAAGCTTCCCAAGAAGGAAGAACACACGGAAACAAAGGGGAACAGCAAAAACTGTTTGAAAGGAAGCCAAGGCGAACATTTTTCAAGGGAGACAGCCAAAAAAATGAAAGCAAGGACGGACACGCGGAAACACTGTGGAACAGCAAAAAAACTGTTTGAAGGGGCAAAAAGCTTCCCAAGAAGGAAGAACACACGGAAACAAAGGGGAACAGCAAAAACTGTTTGAAAGGAAGCCAAGGCGAACATTTTTCAAGGGAGACAGCCAAAAAAATGAAAGCAAGGACGGACACGCGGAACACTGTGGAACAGCAAAAAAACTGTTTGAAGGGGCAAAGCTTCCAAAGAACAGCCATGAAAGAAAAAAGGCAAAAACACATGAAACAAAAGGAAACGCAAAAATATGTTCTGAAATGCAACAAATGCTCCAAGTAGGAGGAAAACAGTTCCAAAAAAATGAAAAGCAGCAAAAAAAACTGTTCTGAAGGGGTTCGCGGCACTTTGCACCCTCCTCGCTGCTTGCACTTGAGTTCTACACTTAGAGCCCTCGCTGCTTGCACTTTGCATCCTTGACGCTTGCCTTTCGCCCGCAACACTTTTGAGCCGTTTGCTTTGAAGCCGTCGTTCCTGCACTTTGCACTTTGCACTTTGAGCCCTCATCTCTTGCACCTTGAGCCTTCCCTTTTTGGCCCTTTGCATCCTTCAACCTTTGCACTTTGCACCCGCTGAGCTTCCAAGGAACAGGCATCAGAATGAAACACGCACAAATTGACAGCCACAAAGGCAACACAAAAAGGTCGGTCAAAGGCGAAACTTGCAAACAGAACAGTTGCAATTAAATTTGGGTTCTTCCAACTTCGGAATCTTCCAACTTTGGAATCTTCCAACTTTAACTTTTGCATCTGTTCGCGTGCGCGCGCACGCACGTGCATGAGTGAGCCTTTTCAATAATTACGAGTTTGTTTCCAATTTGGAGTCGGGGTTTGTCGTTTTTCCTCAAAGTGCAAGCGGCGAGAGTGCAAAGTGCAAAAAAGGAGAGCTCAAAGTGCAAGCGACGAGGGTGCAAAACACCAGCAGCGAGGAAGCAAAGTGCAAGGAACAAGAACGCAAAGTGCAAGGAGTGAGGGCTCAAAGTGCAAGAGGTGAGAGTGCAAAGTGCAAGCACGTGCAAGGGACGAGGGCAAAAGTGGAGCATGTGCAAGGAGCGAGTGTGCAAAGTGCAAGCGGCGAGGGTGCAAAGTGCAAGAGATGAGGACTGAAAGTGCAAAGGGCGAGGACTCAAAATGGAAGCAGTGAGAGTGCAAAGTGCAAGCGGCGAGGGGGCAAGTGCAAGCGGTGAGGGTGCAAAGTGGAAGGACTGAGGGTGCAAAGTGCAAGGGGCAAAGGCAAAGTGCAAGGGCGAGGCAATGCATCTTCCAACTTTGCATTCTTCCAACCTTGGTGTCTTCCAACATTCGAATCTCCCAACTTTTCGTTTTGCTTGTGCACCCATGGGCCGCACACATTTGTTTGGGCGGGAGAAGTGCAATCGGCGAGGGTGAAGCGGTGAGGGTGCAAAGTGCAAACAAAGTGCAAGGGGCGAGAGTGGAAAGTGCAAGCAAAGGGAAGGAGCGAAGGCAAAAGTGCAAGGGGCGAGGGTGCAAAGTCCAAGGAGTGAGGGTGCAAAGTCCAAGGAGCGAAGGCACAAAGTGCAAGGGGCGAGGGTGCAAAGTGCAAAAAAGGAGAGCTCAAAGTGCAAGGGGCGAGGGCTCCAAGCAAGCGGTGAGAGTGCAAAGTGCAAGCGGCGAGGGCAAAAGTGCAAGAGGTGAGGGCTCAAAGTGCAAGCGATGAGAGTGCAAAGTGCAAGCGGGAAGGGAAGGAGCGAAGGCAAAAGTGCAAGGGGCGAGGGTGCAAAGTGCAAGGAGTGAGGATGCAAAGTCCAAGGGGCGAAGGCACAAAGTGCAAGGGGCGAGGGTGCAAAGTGCAAAAAAGGAGAGCTCAAAGTGCAAGGGGCGAGGGCTCAAAGTGCAAGCGGTGAGAGTGCAAAGTGCAAGCGGCGAGGGCAAAAGTGCAAGGGGCGAGGGTGCAAAGTGCAAAAAGTGAGAGCTCAAAGTGCAAGCGGCGAGGGTGCAAAGTGCAAGCAGCGAGGGTGCAAAGTGCAAAAAAGGAGAGCTCAAAGTGCAGGGCGAGGGCTCACAGTGCAAGCGGTGAGAGTGCAAAGTGCAAGCGGCGAGGGAAGGAGCGAAGGCAAAAGTGCAAGGGGCGAGGGTGCAAAGTGCAAAAAGAGAGAGCTCAAAGTTCAAGGGGCGAGGGCTCAAAGTGCAAGGGGCGAGAGCTCAAAAGGCAAGAAGTGAGGGCTCAAAAGTGCGTGCAAAGTGGAAGGCTTGCATTTGGATCACTTTGGGGCCTTGCAAAGGTTGGAACTTGCGCATTTGGTGTTTTTTGTTGCTTGCTGTTGGGCGTCGTTTTTGCAGTCGATTCACTATTTGGGTTCAATTTTTGGGCATTTGCTGTGCATCTCAGTTTCGTGTCTCTGTATGTTTGGCACTTTTTTTTGCTGTTCCTTCCCACTTGGTTTCGTGTTCCAGCTCCTGTGCAAAGCCAAAGTTGGAAGATCGCAAACTTGGAAGAACCCAAAGTTGGAAGATGCGTTTTGGCCCAATCAGGGGGTGCGGGAATTTTGGGTGTGCATCTTCCAACTTTTCGGCTGCAACCATATGTACTACATACAATTCTACAATATTCTACATAACAACCTGTACAAGCATGTAACCTTCAGAGTTTGATTTGTTTGCCTCCTGCATTGCTGAGCGAGTCGATAGGCAGGGTGTGCAAGCACATGCCGGGGGTCCAGAACAACCTCCTGCCCTACATGCATCTTTGGGACAGCGGGGCGATAGAGGACATGGCACACATACAAGACCAAGCCCAGACGCTTAAGCTGCGGACCATCCCACCTGGACGCCTGAAGCCTTTAGACAGTAAGATCTGCACCAAGCTCTGGGCAGGGGTTTGGTGGTCTACTTGCATGTGCGATTGGATTCCGTCATGTCATGCATCAAGCCCCGAGCGAGTCAATATAGACTGTCAGACAGCTTGTAACTGTAGGGAAGGGAAGCGGGAACTAAAGGACAAGACTGCAACGAATCCAGAGTAGGTCTGAAAACAGGACATCGAAATCCTGCTAAAACCGCAAACAACAAGACGTGTTCGAATACGCGGCGCATGTGGCCAATTTAAGCACTGTCAAAAAAAAAAAATATATATATATATATATATATATATATATTAACTAACGCATGTTGCTCATGGAAAGCCGAAATCTTCATTTCCCCGAGCCGGCCCCAACCCCCCAAAAACCTTGGAACCAATACCCCTTAAGCCTAAACCCATGCCTCAAGACCCTTCTCCAACCATCTTTATTATCGAACCCTCTTTGATCCCTGATGCAAACCTTCAAAGGAATCCAGACACCCATTCCATTCTAGTTCTGAAACCACCAACCCTCAGTCTTCGGGGTCGGGCTTATTTTGAGTCACCCGTTCCCTCCAGACCTGGCAAACAAGGGCCGTAACGGCGGCCATCGGTCAAAGGCTTCAGGACTGCAGCTTGAACGTAGTGTTTTTGTTCAGGCTTCATGGCTTATGTGACTCAAAAACGGTTGAGTCCACAGGACTACACATAAGCCTAGAATGTGGACATCTTGCTGCCTGAAAGGCTAGTATCCATATAATTTTACAGCTTGCAGTAATCCTGGGTGAGGGAGGGGGGGGGGGGGGGTACGCCTAAATTGCCGACATAACTACTCTGAACCTATAGTTGCAGCTAAGTACTGCGGTAGCCACAGCTTGAAGAATCCTGAATGACACGTTCAAAGTGAGTTTCCGACAAAGCTACTCAATACAGCTCACATAAACAACGACATAGCAACAAGTACATGTATACAGTATACACATATGTATGTACACATGCGTACATACAATTACATATGTATATATGTATTTCAGCACAAATATGTGTATATATATATATACACATGTATACGCATACAGTACAGGCTCACATCTGCCCAGGCCCAGCAACCAGAGCGACGCTTCAACTCCAAGTTTCAGGATGTAGTTTTGGGGCTTGGTGGTTCAAGCTTCGGGCAAGAAGCACGCGTGGTACTACAGGGTTGCTACCCCCTGACAGAGACCCGCAAGCCTTTTCCCAGTTGAAGTCTGGGTCATTCATGGGCTTGCCATCCTTTCAAGGCGGGATTCTGGATTGCTTGCGCTTTCAGATCAAACCTCGAGCAGCTTCGGGGGTTCAGGGTTCAGGCTTCTGGGATATGCGAGCTTATATAGGGCTTTAGGGGTTTAGGGGTCCGGGCCTTTGTACAAAGAACGTTATGCTTCACTTCAAGGCGGCCAGGAGTTGACGAAGCTCTGAACACCGGGTTAAATCCAAACTGACCCCGTCTTGTTCCTGCCTCGCAGGGCCCTTAGCCTTCAACGTTTAAGTTCCTTCAAGGTCAGCTTCGAGCTTCAGGACTTTGTTCGTTGAAGGTTGTCAAGTGCACAGAAAGCACGGAAGAGGAGACCCTATGTAGACAGTTCGAAGCCTTCATGGTTTAAGGTCCAAGGCCTCCAGACCAATAAAATCAATTTAACTCCACGTCAAGCGAGGCGCGAGGTCGGACACTAGCAGTTTGTACGAACAGCATTTTGGTCCTTGTCTTTCGCCACCTTCTTCTTCTCGCCACCACCCGGGCTTCTGGATCGACTAATGTCCTGGCAAGTTCCAAAGGCCCAAAGACAACGTCTTTGAACGCACAACGCCTTTACGCCTTTCTTGACCGAAACTATAAGGTACGAGAACCCGCTCTATCGAGGGAGCCGCTCGCCCCGCGGTAAACAGCCCGTTTGCAGAAGCAACACTACATGCAGCAACAACAACAACAACAACAACAACAACAACAACAACATCAACAAATACGCCAACACTAACACAAAATACCAACACGAATAACAATGCCATGGCCACAACCAGCAACGCGACAGCTACCAGCCCAGCTACAACCAAGACCACTACCGGCGGCAGCAGCACCACCACCAGCACCAGGAGCAGCAGCAGCAGCACCAGCAGCAGCCAGCACCGGCACTGGCAAAGGCACAGGAACAATGACAACAGTTCTGAGCAGAGTGTGAGAATACGAAGCACGGAACTCTGCAATTGCCACGAAGATGCTGCTGAAGCGAACCTTCCGATTGCCTTGGCTTCTTAAGAAAGAGAACATCGACTTCAACATCTTGAACCATGAGAGGCGACACTGTCCTTGCCGTCTTTCCCTTTCTTCTTCTCCTTGTCCTCGTCCTCGTCGTCCTTTCCAGAATGCTGCTGTGCACATGGACTGCAATCCTCGTCCCCCATCTGTTGGCCCCTCAGCCAATCTCATAGTGGTACAAAAAGGCCACTCATACATGTAGTAGTTTTGGCTCCCGCGTGGCAATAGCACCTCCATCATTATCAGCAGCAGGAGGAGTAGTAGTAGTAGTCGTGGTGGTGGTGGTGGTAGCAGTAGTAGTAGTAGTAGTAGTAGTAGTAGTAGTAGTAGTAGTAGTAGTGGTGGTAGTTGTAGTTGTAGTTGTAGTTGTAGTAGTAGTAGTAGCAGTAGTACGGGAGTGGGAGTGGGAGTGGGAGTGGGAGGTCGAGGAGTATTCGTCGTGGTGGTGGTGTTTTAGTGGGACTGCTAGCGCTAATGGTTGGGGTAATGGTAGTGGTCATGGGCATAGTAATGGTACTAATACTGGTGTTAGCACTAGTTCTAGTACGAATACATACTGGCAGTAGCAGTAGTAGTCGTGGTCGGAGTGGAAGTAGTAGTAGTTTTGGTACACTTCTCGGTTTGTGCATGTCATCCTTGCGGAGGGGCCATCCTAATCGTTTCTGTACCGTTGAAATTTTATGGGATGATCCCTCATGGGAATCCTCCGTTTATCAGCATCAGTAGTTGTAGTAGCAGTAGTAGAAGTTTTGGCTCCCACTTGTCAGCGTCCGTCGGACCCTGCTCTGCAGGTATTAAGTCGGCTACGAGCGAGGGGCTTTCAGCAGTAGTAGTGGTAGTAGTAGTACTAGTAATAATAATAATAATAATATAGTGGTAGTAGTAGTAGTAGTAGTAGTAGTAGTAGTAGTAGTAGTAGTAGTAGTAGGAGCAGTAGTAGTGGCAGGAGTAGTAGTAGTAGTAGTAGTAGTAGCAGCAGCAGCAGAGGAGTAGGAGTAGGAGTAGGAGTAGGAGTAGGAGTAGGAGTAGTAGTAGTAGTAGTAGTAGTAGTAGTAGTAGTAGTAGTAGTAGTAGCAGTAGTAGTAGTAGTAGTAGTAGTAGTAGTAGTAGTGGTTGTAGTAGTAGTAGTAGTAGTAGGAGTAGTAGCAGTAGTAGTAGTAGTAGTAGTAGTAGGAGCAGTAGTAGTAGTAGTAGTAGTAGTAGCAGCAGCAGCAGTAGCCTCAATGTGCGCAATAAGCTTCCGCCCAAGGTTGAGGCTCGCGGCCATCGTGGAAGAACATACCGGATATCCCACCGTTTGTAGCATGTACTTACTGGTGCTCAGCTAGGCCCAGATATTGTCGGTCATATGTATGCGAGGAAGTTTGTTTTCTTCCTTTGCTTTTCGACCTTCGTTTCAGTCTGAAGTTTGACCCTGAATTCCAGCCGTGGTTGCCTTGGACTTTTGCTTCTTGTCTTGCATGGCCTCCGAGTAGGTCATCCTGCACGAAAAGGGTGGGTGAAAAGACCTGGTAATTTGATTGGTAGGTCTAGGTCTCAGATCTCGGGTGCGCAAGGTGGGCATCAGTTTTGAACTTTGGAGCCCCGGGCTCAAAGGTCTTGGTTTGCAGCTCGGGATTCACTGCTCGTTAATTAATCAACAGCATCAGTGAGGCTTCAGGCCGCTTCCATTAACTAGTCTGCTTTCTCACACCAGGCACGCACGGCCCTGACGCACAGAAGGCAACCCTCTTCTACCGCACACACTTTAACCTTGATGCTCCGACGAACGGCGTACAGCCTTATAGCACACCCATAGCCGTTTAACAAAGTCTAAATCGAACTCGAACAAACCTTTCCAAAAGCACTCAGATCTCAAACTTTTCAGCAATCTTGGCATCAACGCCTATATCGAGCGATTATTGTAACACCCTTACTTATTCCCTATGCCTATAAGCGATGCAAAAAGTAAACCACAGCACTCGGAACCCAAACCTGTCGTGGCCGGGCTTGGCATCTGCGGCCCCAAGGCCCTCTGCGGTGATGCCAACGATGCCCTCAGAGGGTTCAGGTTTGTTTCCAGGGCTTCGTGAATTTTTTTCTCAGAAGCGGGTCTAGGACTCTGTCTGCGTGTGTGTGTGTGTGTGTGTGTGTGTGTGCGCGCGTCTTTACGCGTGTATAGTTCAGCGTGATTCGGGTTCGGGGGTGTAGGTTTCAAGAATTTTGGCCTGAGTTCCTGAACCTTCGAACAAAGCAGTAAATCCACACACGTCCTGCGTCCCTGTATTCCAGCATGTGGGGGCAGCATGTTTGCTCAGCATAGAACGGCACTTGAAACTGCAGCATCAGCAAGTCAAGATTCGGTCAACTTGGGGTCCACCGTGCACTCTTCTAAGGATGAAATCTCAGGAACTTATCATGGGTCGATGGACACTATTGCTTGTACCTCATGGCAGCATGCAGCCAGAAGCCCTTCACTCGAACCTTAAAGCCCTAAACCCGTATCTGCTTCAACGAAGTTCGCCGAAACCTGAACCCCATCGTGTGAAATCTTAAATCTTGCCACAAGTAAAGTACGCCTAGCATGGGCACTTGAAGGGTAGATTAACGGCAAACCGTAATCCTCACAAGAAGGCCCGAGGCGACCCTAGTCCTTACCCAGGACATCTCTAAACTCCAAGCTCTAAACCACAAGCCCTCAACCATTTCAATGCAACAAGAGGCCAGCCGAAGCGAACCCGAAACACTGCAGCCCTGAAGGTTTCCGAATCGAATCGTCGCTGACCTCCGTACACCTCTGTCAAAGAAAGAACATTTCTACCAACCCAAACTCGAAAACCTTGTGAAGGCTTCAGTTCCATGATGTGTGACCCCAAGTGACAACCGTCAAACCCACCCGGTGTAAATCCATACCCTGTAAAGCCCAAACTAGGTCTTAAGCCCTAGAGCTCAACAAGCTTGACCTTTATGGTAAACCCTCCCCATGGCAACCCTTAGTTCTACCCTTGTAGCAACAGCAATCCTGCCGACCGACCTCGCCAACAACGAGGAAGATGTCGGCGGCCGGCACGAAGGCCCACTCCTCCGGTGCCTGTTTGTCGTTCGCTGCGGTTCTCGTCGTGCAAAGCGGGCATCGCAAGTCTTAAAGTCTTCTGGCTGAGAGGCTGGGTTTTGGGGTTACAGAGAAACACCACACCACTCGCTGAAGAACGTTGCTGTTCCCAGATGGCATATCAGTTCTTGTCACCCCTACATCTGACTGCCCTACGCAAAGACAGAAGACCCTCGCTCAAAGCAGGCATGGATGCAAACGCAAGCCTTCATTCATCCAAGGCCCCGTGGTATCTTTTCTTTTCGCCAACACTGTATCATTTGATGTTGAGAACACTACTACGTAATGTTATTACTGCGCGTTTCTCAATACCTATTGGAAATTTCTGCCCTCGCATCCCGTACAAGACGGCCCAAACGTTCGGGCCTCAGCCGTCTCGTCCGGGTTCGCAGGGGGCTCCTCGTTTAGCAAGGGGCGGCTGGCGCAGTCCATAATAACAGGACTGCCAGGATGTATGGAAAACAAAGACAAACCACCATGAAGGTCATGTACACTGTCTTGATATGAAGGCTTTTCCAAAGGTCTCCACTGTTGCAGGATCCCGGCGCTTCATGCTTGAGCTGCGCTGGGGTTTGGGGTTCGATGGGTTCGGAATCCAAGGTGTTCTACCATTCACGGTGTTAGGATTCTAGCCCGGTCCATCCCGGTCCCAAGCGCACAAAGATAGCACATTTATTTTCTGAAAGCAAGTGCGATAATCTCAACGAACTGTCTGACGGGCACCTCCCCCTAACCTCTAAGCCCTGTGTCCTACCTACCACAAGCAATCGTCTAAGACCTACGTACAACCCCAAAGTTCATCCCTAAGCCATGTAGAGCCCTTCGAAAATCACACTGTCATCCTAAACCCGAAACCGCAGCGGGCAGAGCCTAAGCTCCAAAACTCTGACCCGCAGTGCTCAGAGCCGAGGATCTGCCGTGAAGAGGTTCAAGTGGCGAGCGCAATCTCCTTCGCCTTTGGCCTTAGTCTGAGCTCCACAGAAGCTACTTTGAAAGGTGTCGTTTGGGTTCCTTTGGGCTCCGTATGGCTTTCGGCTTTCAGAACTTGGGGCTGCTGGATTTGACAGGCGTGGCTATCTTGGGGTGCCGCAAGCTCGCTCCTGATTGCCGAACCTCTTTACACTAAGCCCAGGCAACGGCAAGGGTACGAAGCAAGATCTGTACGTTCAGAATCAAGATGGACTATGCCCGAGCCCAACCAGGCTGGAGTTCAGACTTGACCTGGGAGTCTGAACTCAAGAATCGGAGCTTTGTGTCATTGGGGACTTCATATTCCTGACAAAATGAAAGGGCATTGTAGGAATACTACTGACTGAGACTCCAATGACTCACTAGTATCTTCAGGCCTGAAAGAAGGATACCAAATTTCGAGCAGGTTTCACGCTAAGCTGCTGTAAGGGAAGCATTGCAAGAAAGCCCCGGACACAAACCTGTGGTGTGCTGGGGTCACATGAGGCGCACGCCCACTCCGTGATGTCCTTCCAAAGAGCCGCAGCCATCATCCGCACCTGCAATATTTGGGAACGTGTTTTGGACGTTTGCGACTCTTGAGGAAGATGCTCCAGTTGATTCCCCTGAACACCCATGACACATCCGACGTTGCCTGTGCAAAGGTTGAAAATCCGCGACATCCTCGTCTAGTTCGAGCGTGTCTGTTCTACGTGAATTGGACAAGAACTGACTGTGTTCCGAGATGATTTGCAAATGTTTCACGATCGAAAAGGCAGATTCGGCCCGCCCAGAAAGAGCTGATTCAAACAACGAAGGTTCCACTCACGATGCCTTGTTCAATAGGAATGGATAGAATGTGAGATCGGTAGTGCGAAAAAAGGACGAATCGCAACTTTAACCGTAACTCACGCATGCTCATGCTTCCCAAAAGCTAGACTTGAAATTTTGGATGTGATCCATGAAGGGAGCCGATCTCGGGAAAAATCACATACAAACACATCCAGAAAGGACGCCCCCTCCCAAGGTGCCTCCTTGTCGCCTGCCCCGACGAAACTATCGATACCGCGCGGGAGCACGTTTCGGATCCTTCGGTCTGACGGGGTTTACTTCGGGCCTCGGGTTGCAGAGTTTAACGCTTTTTAGGGGGCAAGGATTCAACCCTCGGAGGGAAGTATATGGGAGTTTCCGAAAATGGGAGTACCCCCGAAGTGGTAGGATCCTTATTATAAGGACCCCAAAATAAGGGTACCCCCCATTTTCGGAAACTCCCATATGTTGATTGTCATGAACTCCGCGTGAGGCACGACCCCTGGAAAGCTTAAAGGTTCTTCACCCGAACACCAAGTACGATTGGTTGGAAGCGCACGGAATCTGGCAAGATAGCTAGGGTTGGAATCACAGAATCTCACACTTCCCACAGGTTTTTTACTTTTTGGGCGAGGTTCTGCTTGGCTTAGAAGCTCAGTTGCAGGCTTCGGCCTTAGGATTCATGGTTTAGGCCAGTTTAGGCTTGGAGTTCATGGTAGAGCTGCGGAAACATCTCCGAACAACATTCCCATGCAAGCACGGAAAGGCAAATCAAGCACCGAACACAAAGGGTATCGTGCTCTTACGATTACTGACGTTGTTTTCAATTATTACGACTTGTTTCATCATCACTGTTGCTGGCATTACCCTGCAGGTTCACATCACAAGCCTACTTCCAGTATATAGGAATACCCGAACATTCCTCTTGAGAGGAAGGTCCTATCTCGCCATAAGGTGGCCCAAGTGGATGTGCGCTTGCCCTCCTGGAGGTTCAGGACATTGGTGCAGAGTGGACGGCATCACTTCGTACTCTTTGGGCAGGAAGGTTCGGGTCCCCATAGCAGTTGCAGACGGATGTGTCTATGTCCACCCAGTGCAGACAAATCTCCAGCCAAAACCCAGACCTCCAACATGAATAACACTCTACTGTTGTTAGCTGCGGGTGCTGTCATCCTAAATTTGCGCCACTGAGTCCCGGTAGGCCCTAGGCTAGCTCTAGCTGCAGACCGCTTGTGACACAACAGGTATATTCTACACAAGTCTCCAAGCACATGTGCTACCAGGGCCAATGAAGCCCTAAGCCAACAGCCGCCAACAACTATTCGCAGGTCGGGTGTTTGCTCGGAATCTTGACAAACCAGGTGGTGAACACAGACTGGTAGGCAATGAAAGTCCGTTCATGGAAGGAACGTCAATCGAAGTGCAAAGGATGTACCTGTAAATATCGGTGAAAGCAATAGATACGCATTACCCAGGAAACAAGACCCGGAACCCCAGACCTTAATGCTGATCCGAACTCAAGGCAGAAACTCGGCTTCCCTGAGACCACCGGGACCTCGTCGTCCCACATGCTGCCTCCATCAACTTTGGGGTTCTTAATGCGAGAATCTGAAGAGATTTAGCCTTCCTGTCTCTACATGAAGAGTTCCTTAGAAGCAAAAGTCGCGATTCCAGGATGTTCACACCCTTCTCTTAGGCACGTCTCGACTCTCGCTCTCGCGCCGCGCCCACTGGAGCTTCAGGGCTTCTAGAAAGCAAGATATTCTGCTACCGGGCTGCCGCCCGATTCCTGACCCAGAAGCGAGATAGCTTCTGACGAGAACCGGATGCCAACCCCTTGACCGGAGCTTTTGGACTGTACTGTTAGGCTTAGGGTCTTGAGCCGGGTCTCTTGCTGGGAGCGAGAACCAAGGCAGCTCATGTTGCAATCGCTTTCAAGCAGTTCCGGAGGCATGGTCCCCATCTCCCACGCGGCCCCACCCTGAAGCCATAACTCCCTTGGCCTGAAACCCTACTGACACTCCAAAACAGCCGGACGCCTCGCCGCGTTTTCGTGCCGGGCTCATTGGCTTCGGGCGTCCACACGCGGAGCCTCGGAACAGCCGCACAAAACAGTGTGTTGAAGGCTGATGTCGTAGTTTGATACTGCTAATAACTGATACTCTTGTAACTTCTATTGGTGCGGGTTGTGCTGTTTTTGTTACCCCATAAGTTTGGTATTGCGCTGGCAAATTCAGTATCATCAAAACTTGCCTTTGCTGCGGCTACCGCAAAAAAGAGGGCGACTGGCACAAGGTTCAGAGTTTAACTAGTTCGGGTCAAATACTTTATTGTGCTACAGCATAGGGTGAAGGCCTTACGTGAACTGTACGATGCAGGGAAAAACCACTTGTGGGAGAAAAGCCTTGCATCCCGGAAACAAAGCGGTAGAGTACAGGAGGCCACGGGAGCAAGACCGGCCAGTTCGGTCCAGCACCCCGCCTCTACTACGCCGGCTCCTCCCGCGCGCAGCTTTACAGTGGCCAGCTCTACAGCGTCTGAGAACCGCGAGCGGAAGACGAAGCGGCGGGTTTGGGCCTAGCGTTCAGGCCCAAAGCCTTGGCCTGCCGTCGGCACATGTGGCATTGAAAGATCTGGGAAAGCCAGCCAACAGTCAGTTGCTTGAATAAAGCTCTTAACCATGCATGAGCCCAAATACATGCAGACCATAAGGGCATATGCGGCATATCGTTGCTCAATCTTTTCGAGAGAGGACACCAAAATCAGTAAATACCCGCCACTAAGCCATGAGCAGAGGCAGCTCTATGCCGTGTCGCATCCCGCAGCCCTACAAGCAGCTTGGAACATTTTCGAACTTCAACTCTCAAGAGACTGGCCAAAACGCCCGCAACTACTAAATTGCACGTCCTGCAGCCCGAACCCAACAAGCAACCATGCCCGACCATTTGAGGACCCCACTTTATTTTCTCGCGGAGGTCACGCCAAAGCCCGATCTCGGGGTATTGCATCATTACCTCATGTCATCGGCTTCATGCTTTGGGCAGAGTGCTCTTGGGAGTTTGAGGGTCCTGGCACAAGAAGAGACTTGCGGTTTGGATTTGGCGCGCGGCCTTTCAAGGTCTTTTCTGAACCTTCGATTAACAAAACCCTCCCTAACATCGGATATTAATGGGCATTAACGCCCCTAAAGACGGAGCGTTTCATCATGATGTTCGTGCATGTTGCAGGTTTCGGGGTGTCGGGTTCCAGTGCCTGGACGAAGTGGTCGGATTAAGAATTTGAAGAAGTGTGAGCTTCCCGGCCTGATGTTGAGAAACCTGTCTTCAAGGCTTCAACACCCAGACCCAAATCCTTGACCTCGAAAAACCTTCCAGCTTCTCCCAAATTCCACTGACAAGGTTAGCTGACGCCTGCCACTATAAAGCCTACATCTCTAGCGATCAAAATCTCTCAGCAACCGCTTGCCAAAACCCAAACTTTGCTGGACATGAAGGCTCAGGCTTCAGGTTCATGCCTTGGGACCGCGTTGTGTTCCGCTATTCAAAACGCTTTCGGCACTCACAACTCGGGCAAGTCCAGGCGAGGCATCTGCCTGAAGGTCGGATGAGGTGAAACCCGCAAGGGCTAAGCAAAGCCAGACAAGAAGGAAGAAGGGTTTACGGATTTGAGTCTAGAGGTCTAGGTACCATGAAAGCGAAGCAGGCTCAAGAACCCTCAGCTCGGGCGAAAGCTGTCTGCCAGTTTCCACGCACGCAGTCATTGTTCCTTCCGTGACATGTCGACCGGGAAACACCGCAGAGGAACTCCTTCCGAAAGGGAAGATCCCTAAGCCCTCACCCCAAATCAGAAGACCCGAGACCCGAAGCCCTAAACTGCAGAATGTCAGAATATTCAAGCTGAGAAAACTGTGCGCGCAACTTAAGCCCATGAACAACCTAATGAACTGGCAAGCCCATGCAAGTGTAGGGATTCAGGACGGGACTTAGCCCCAAGCTTTTAGGCCTGTACATACTCGAGTACGATGTTTTGCAGAATGGAACCCATAGGTGTACCCAAACAACGACTTTGCACTATTCCTGAAACCATACGTTTACTAACAGACCAGGTATGATGTACGGTACATTCCTTACTTACGGCCCTCCTGGGTAGAAGCTTCGCTTGAATCTGATATACTTGGTGACAGCTGCTGAGGTTTGGCGAATCCGCTTGAGGGTTTGGGGTGTCATGAGAGGATCAACAACTAGATGCAGATGCAACGGAAACGTAACACTTCGAAAGCAGAGCAGTCCGCACAACGTGGTCTGTATTCCGTCAGTCGTAGCATCGTCTTGTCTCACACCTTCGACCCGATTCCTAATCCGATGGCAGACCACGCTGCGAGAACTGCCGTTCTCCTGCCTCTTAGCCTCCGCGAGGGTTGCGCGGTTCATCGCGCAGAGGAATTGCCTCAGCATGTGTTTCCTGAACCTGCGCGAAACACTTGGGGTTGAGCTGCGAACTCAAGTGGCTCCAGGGCGAGGGTTTACAGAGGTGACGGCCCGCGAAGCTGAGCTCGCAGCTGCAGGTGGGATTTGCCAAGAGAGCGGGACCCCTAATGAAGGCCCTTCAGCTTAACCTTCGCGAAAAAAGACCCCTCAAGTTTTGGAATTCTTCGTTACGGGCTTATTCGGGCTTACACAGCAACGACTCGTCTGTTTTGAGCTTGGAAGCCCATGCATCTTTGCTAAATGCACAGCTAATCACTTCCAGCAAACTAATGTAATGCAACCCCGGTCTTAAGTCAGTTGGGCTTCACCAGCTGATGCGATCACTGGACCTCGATGCCATGACACAAACCTCGAGTGCCCGTAATGAAGACCTCGAACTTACGACGCGAAGCTATGGCTCATGCACAAGCACATCTCGTCAAGAGACGAGACTCCTCTACACAAAAGACATGCAAAGGTTTGCTAGCTTCAACAGACGGGGTTCTCCTATGCCAGCCTCTACACATTGTGGCCTTTCTGTATCCCTCTCGGCGTCAACCTCTCAATGAAACTTCGGGCTTGGTACCTGTTCGGCAGGTACTAACTAAATCGCCAGCTAAGATAATGGGTCACTGAAGTATCCGGTCCAAAGTAAGGTTTTGCACCAGTCTGCTAAGCGCCCTCTAAGTGCAGCAATCTCCAAAAAAAAGCTGGCCGTAACTTAAGCAAAGCCTTAGGAAAGGCTGGAACTACAGGCGGCAATAACTCCGACAAGACTTGGAGGGTGTAGTTAAGTGTAGCATAACCAGCATAACGTTAAGATGGAAACCTAAGGAATAGCATCGCTAAACACTCAAGCTTCGACATAACAAGAGCTCATAAATCGGAGGTCGGCATATCTGGCACTCAGAAGCTTGGCTGTATGTCATAGCACCTAAAACACTAAACCCGGGAAACCAACAACTCAAATTCCAAACCCTACTACACACTATGACCCTAAACCCTAGCTCCATGACCCGAATGAAGTTCACAACTCTAAACCTCGTAACCCTAATGGACTCCTAAGCCCCACAACACCAATCCATCTCAAACTCCCAATCCTGAAACGTTGCGCACAATAGATGCCTTTCACATCACCGCATAGGACCCTAAATCACATAAAACGCCCACAGCTCCCAGGGCATCTAAGCACCCAAACGCCCTGTATCGCTTCGGAGCACAGTCATAGGCCGTCCCTGACAGCTGACACACATGTGGATATGGGAGTTTGGGTTTTCGGTTTTTAGGGGTTGAGGGTTTAAGTGCTGAGAGTTTCAGTGTTTAGAGTTTCGGAGTTCAGGTAGGGTATAGCATGGTATAGCGGAGTTTCAGAAAATAGCGAACTTTATGAGAGTACGGTGTGCAGGCTTCATAAGTTGGTTTTCATAAGGCTTTACTACAGTCTTCAGCGACCCTGGTGTTTGTAGAGCGAAAGGCTTGTGATTTCTTCCCGCCCATCCAGCTGACCAAGTCGCACCACAGGGAGTTGATCCGAACTGAGAAGGTTTATGATAAGTATGAGGGTTTCGGACTGTCGACCAAGGCTTTGCATTTCCCTTCCGATTTTCGGTGTTAGAAACTGGGCAATTGCGAACAGGGGCATGCGACCTAGTGATCCACCAGCCTGTCTAGTAACTCCTGTTGTTTCTCAAGGGGCCCAACCCGCTTGAACCACCCGCCCTGAAAAATACCCTGAACGCCGGTTGAAAAGCATTGTTGCGAGATTCATCGATTCATAGCCCTTTGGCTTCATCCCCTTCCCTGAACAACCCCTCAAAACCCACAGCTCCACAGACCTAAACCTCGCAATTCCGAAGAACTCAATCCTAAACCCAACGACCAACCCCCTACGAAAACAAGTGTGCAAATCCGCACAAAGAAAGCCAAGACAATCCTCCGGGGCTCTGGCGCAATGGGGGAGTGCCGAATAAGTCTAAGAGCCGGTTCATGTCGAACCACTCGGCCAGAAGGACCTCTTGCTTGGGACTTGGAGCCTTGACAAACTTGAACACGGTTTGGGGGGGTAACAGTTGTGTGCGAGTATCAATTGTGGGGCCTTGGATGGTTTGGCAAAGAAGACTTGGAATTGTAGTTTTGCTTTCGTTGTGTTCGGAAAGTACATAGAGCTTTTCTTGCTGCTAGCTTAGTCTGTGTGCCCCGCGTGATTGAATGGGTGAGTGGGGCATGGAATAACTACTGCAGTCCAAAACCCCATTCCAATCCTGAAGTTCCCCCATATTTGGATATCCAAATCATTTGGGGTTCCTCTGCCTGGAGCCCTTGCCTGGAGCCCTTGTGTTCATGACGCGGTACCAATTGGATGGCCGTTGGCATAGTCGAAATGCAGAGCTCGATGCTAGCCATCATGCTCGTGGATTGCTGCTGTAACGAACTTCAAAGCACGGTTTGCATGATCTGCTCCCTGTTTGCCAAGCAGTTCAGCAACACTCGATGCAATAGTGAGGCTGGTCATCTCAGCCCGGACCAAACTAGGAAACTGTTGACCTGTCTTGTATTGTCTTGCTAAGTCTTGCCGTTTTTCAGACCCACATGCTGCTTCTGAGAGCCATGTGTCCGCCTGCGGTCTGCTATTTGTCCACGTCGTCGAGGCCGTGAAGGACTTAGTCCAGCACCCGGGACACCAAGTCTACACAGCAGAAAGCATCAGCTCTAGACTCTAGCGACATCGCCATTTTTGTTGGCACTAGAAGCAAACAGGAATCAGCGAGGCAGCTGTACCTACAGCCCCTACACCGCTGTTTTGAGGCAGAACTTTGATCAGACAATGAGGTCTGCTGGGAGCGCTTTAAGTAACTAAGCTTCAGTGTTCGAGGACTCCAAGGAGCAGTTGTCCTGAAGAACACCCATTCTTCTCAGACATGGAAACGTCGTGACTGTGTTGGCAACTGCAGGGCGTCAACCGGCACTTTTGGAGAATTGTCTACTACCTGTTTCGGTCCCGCGGGCCCTCAGGAGCACAAGTCGGAAGAGGTGCTGCCTAAGTACGCCTTCGAAAAGCCTGTCATCTCGTGTGCGCCCCAAGACATCGAGTCTCATACACTGAACTTCGCAGACTAGGGCACCCCCCTCTGAAGGGCCTGAAGCATTACGCGTTGAGGATGACAACCTTGAAGCCTGAACCTTTTCAAGCTCAATCCATTTCAGAGATTACGCAAAACAGTGTGGCATCACCCACAATCTGACAGGGCCACTTACGAGGAGTGAACACAAGCCGGTCAACTAATACTCAACGCGTAAGTGAAAGCCGCAGCACTAGTACCAGCCGACAGGCACCCCACTCAAGCAGCGCCAAAATCGCAAGACTCGCAGACACGGAAGGTCCGAACACTCGGGATCTTAAAACCCATACCCAAAACACATCGAAAAACACTGGTAGAACATAACTTCTTCCAAACGTCAAGTTGCCTGAGATCCCACGGCGGTCTCTTTAAATTCCTCAAGACAGGCAGCAAGACCCCAAAACTTCCCCAAACTTTCCATGGGCTCCCCACCGCGAGGGAACGCGTCAAGGCCGGCCCGGGAACCTGAACCGGGGGAGATTCGTCCTCTAGAGAGGTGAGGGCCTTCTTAACATTAGCAAAGGGTGTGGGCGGCACATTAGTACAACTACTGTCAGAAGTTTGCTCTTCAAAAGACGGCTGGACAGCAAACCCTGAATCCTAAATGACCTAAAAGCCTTGGGGTCTAGAGTCCAAGATTTACGGATGCTTGTTCTGATTCTGGCCATGGGAGGACAGGTCCTGGTTGTAGCCCGGGTACACCCGGGGTGTTAGGGCCTGCCAGGGTAGAAGGTTCGGGCAGCGAGTGGAGCGTTCCTCCACACCTGCTTATCACGGAAGAGAAAACGCACATTTCAACAGAGAGCTCACGCCTCAGGTGATTCCGGGATAAAGTTTAGGGTCAGGCTATTAGGCAGGCTCTGGCACCCGACAGATGCTACTCAGAAGTCCCGTCCTGCTGCTGATGGTGGATGTACACAGAAGTTAGGTCTTGTTGAAGATGGTGACGCGCTTCTTATGTCTTGTTCAGCGGGGCTGTGATTCTTGCTTCTCCCAGTTTGCACGAACCTGAACCTCGCTGACCTCGCCCCAACCCCGAACCTTCAGAGCCCCAGAGCCCGACCAACCATTAGAAGAGGGTTTTGGGTATATAAAATTACATATGACTTTCATGAGTAGTCGTCATTATGTTGAATCCTAAAATAGACCCCTAGTAGAACCCTGCCTCTCCCTCGCCGGTCAATGCTAACACCGCATGCAGCATCCGGGTTGCCTGCCAGAGCTGCATGAGGAGGCTGACCATGATCAGGCAATATTAAGACAAAGCGCCCGACGTGCTGATCTTCAGCATGACCAAATCTATGTGCACCAAACTCTAAGAAAATCATGCGACCCTGAACTGAAAACCCTATTCCAACCGAGGAACTAGTCTTTCTGCTCCGCAAACCACTTACAGAAAATCAGACCTTCCATGGCCAGGAACATTATCCTAGCCCCAAAGCTCCCTGCACCCTGCAAAACCCGAGCTAGTCAAGAGCACGAGACAAAAAGTGAGGTAGGTGAGTTTGAGCTACGAAGCTACATGTACGGTAAAGTCCATGCCACGTCTTGCCGGGCAGGCTGCGGCAACAACCAACCGACTGCCAAAGGCAGTGGGGCCCATGTTCTCGGCTTGGGGAGGCATCGCTATAAGACTCTTCGTCCGAGCCTCCCTTGATGTCCTGGACCCTACTGTAAAACCCCAAGCCGGGGAACCCTTGCAAGCAGCAAACGGTTGCCACGTCCGCAAGTGGCCACAAGACTCGAAGTGGACGACACAAGTCCGCAGTGGCTGCAGTGTGTAATAACTGTATAACATAAAGCCTAATGCATTCTCGGCTTATAAATGTCCAACACTGCCTGCGTATGAGGAGGACGCAAAAGCGGTACTCTCTAGGAAAGCGTGCTAGCACTATGCCTTATATAAGGGTTTCAGAGTTTAAAGTGTCGGGGCTGAGGGCTTCAGAGAGTCGGGTAGTATCGTCCGTTTCCAAAATGGCATCAGTTGCGTTCAATCGAACTTGTTAGTTCTTACCACGGAGAGTACAACAGAATTTGCATCGATCAGCACCAGGTGATGTCGTAAAGCTTTTGGCATGAAAGGGTTGGATGGAAGTGGAACGACGAACGCTCGCCAAGGCTCCCGAAACATCCCAGACCTCTGAGCCCTAAACCCAGGCTAACCCCGTAGACCCTCAACACGAAGGTCTTTATGCAACCCAAACCCGTTCCGATATTCCTTGAAAGCTCTAAACCTTGTTGCATCCAGGCCTATTGCGACTGCCGCGTACCCCTGAAGAAAAGAAACTGAGGGCCAGGCAAATCTGCAGGACTAAACCCTAAACCACAAGGTTCCTAAGCAGTTCCATTCCATGGCCTCTGCAAAGAGAGCCTCCTGCGGCCGCTCCAACATTTCGGGAGTCACTGCCGTGCCCATGGTGAGGCAGATAGCCTGGGCCAAGGTTTAGGGTATAGGCGGTATAGGCTGTATAAGGTTTGAGGTGTTCGGCTCTAATCGGCCCATTCCAGCCGGTCTTTTACAGAGGCGACAAGTAGGGTTTCCAAGCCAGTCGCCTGTGGGAGTATCTGCAAACATCGGGACATTATAAGAGTCCTGTAACACAGACCCTCTGCTTGAGTCAATGCGGTGCAGTTCGCTTCAGGTGGTTCGCTCACGATGACTACCAGCTGAAGCCATCAATTATTCGTGAGCTTGCACTTCGGCTGGGGCCTCAGAACTCAAGTTCTTCTGGAATGCGGATCGGACCCCACGCTCCTCGATCACGTAACAGCGCGAGGCCATGCCCGGAGTGGTTTTCCGAACGCAGACTTCTTAGAATCAAGAGATCATGGACAGATATTCTCTACTCCTCTCATAACCTGAGCAAAAAAGATGTTTCCAACAACGTCTAAACAGAAAGCTGCAACGACCTAGTGTAACCCTGAGGGGCCATATTGATAAGCATTGGTTTCGGTATCCCGAAGCCCTGAGGCAGCCAAATCTGCATTCGGGACAAGCCGCTCTCAAAAGGTTTCGCTGCTCCTCCAAGCCTGTGCCGCCAAAGCATTGGGGCATAACTGGGGTTCCAGCTTCCTTAAAGATAGAATGTGGATTTCAGGATTCTTAGACTTTTGGTTCGTTCGAAATGCCCCATTGCGGGTGGTGTCTTGAAGCTAGGGTGTGGTTAGAGTTCCCTTGTAGGGCGCTTGTACAATACACAATTGCAGGGCCCAGATTGTAAGAAGGCCTGTTTCGGGATCAAAGGGAAGACCGAGCTCTTGGTACTCGGCTTCAAGCTGATTCAGCGGGGTCGCGGTTTTGGGTTGGTCCGGTAGCGGCTAATCCAGGACATGGGGAGTATGTGCATGATGAAGATGAAAAAGAAGAGGATGAGAATGATGACAGCAGTGTGCCCTGTGCCATTGGTCTTACGGCCCAACAGACTTGTGGCCAGGTGGTGTGATGACTGCAGTAACATCGACATTCGACAAGTGCGTTACTGACGTCATCACTGTCATTAGAGCTAAACCCATACCTGTGGAACCCTCTTGATGCCTTGATTCGGGGTCCCGTCCCGTCCCACGCGTGCCTTCTTTGAGCTCAGCCGATGCATCGGTAAGTCGCTTGAAGGCATCGTGGGCCTGAGCGGTCGCTGGGAGATTTGAGTCTGTCAGTCTGTGGGTGGTTCTAGTGTAACTGTGATTGGTCCTGTTATCGTTGGAAAGAATGTTATAACATTTTGTGTTTAGATTTGTGTGGATATCAGTGTTAGTCTTGTGTCTGTGGGGTTGGAGGGTTCGATGGCGAGGCTTCTGGGTTTGCACATATATTACAGTGAGGCATGAAGTTTTTGAGAACAGGCAAAGCTCAATCACGAACACCCACGGCGGAAGCTCCAAAACTGTCTCGCCATTAGTCGTTAGCCAAGTGAGCCACCAAGCATTCTGCAGCCACTCGCGCATAATGACATAATGGATACTCTAAACTTGTGATTCGCAAGTCCCATCATTTGAGGACGGACACAAAGGATTCGATCGTTAAGAACCGCTCATGACTCAGGGGAGCACTACGGGCTCAACCACATAGCTTCCGCACCGTGCATGCTGCCTAGAAAAGAATGAAGTGTCTCCCCCAATGTTCCTAAGCCCCAAAGGTTAAAGGACTAGCACCCAAAAAACTTAACATTGACCCGTTCTTGCATCAGGACTTGTGCAATCGGCTCAATGTCTGAGCAACACGGAGGCTCAGCAATCATAACTGATCTTCCATGCCTTGCTCAAGAAACTCGCTGGAACAACATCTAGAACACAAACATGATCTATAGAAAACGCCAAACCAACGGCCCTAAACCTAAAGCCAAGCAATAATTGAGCTCCTAACGAGTGCTCCGGTCAACACATTACACCTGAACAGCGAAATCCTAATACCCCGCAGTTACATCTCTAGACCACTGGATCCAAATACAGATCCCGAAAAGTTATGTTCTAATATCTGAGACCTCTCTCTACTAAACCACAAGCACCCCAATCCAAAGTTCCTTGTAGAATCCATTCTTGGAGGGCTCCCTGCCACTGGCCTCTTCGATGTCCGGATTCTTGTCCGGATGCAGAGCACGTGAGAGCTGCCGGTACGCGTAGTTGATATCTGCCTCCAGGTGTACGGATTTGTTCAAGGCTTAGGTTCAAGGTCGAGGAGCCGGGCAAGGAATTTGACACAAAAGATCTGCAAGGTCACCATGAAGCTTCGTGACGACCACATGTCTCATGGTACCCTTGACAGGGCCTTTATGGTCCCTATCATAAGGTTTCGGGTATCCTGAACGGACGGATTATCGCAACAATGTCTTAGAGCTCCTTCAAAACGGGTTCATCGACTAAGGGCTCTTGCAAATTGTGGTGGAGTGGAGCTGGATTTCGTTCTGCTTCTGTTAAGGTTCAGGATTTGTGGTGGGACGCAGGACCCTGCGTTCTGTCCGAGTCAACATCCGGAGCGCATGCAATTGACAGGTTCCAGCGTTTTATTGCAGGGAGTAGCTTGAGGCTTGCCGGCACGACCTGCTTTTATCTACAATTGTACCTGTTCAACATGAAGGTGGTGGCTTCAAAACAGGATTCTCTAAAACCGCCGTTATCAGCAAGACACCTCAAATAGGATCAAGAGCAGACCAACCTCAAAATATCTGCCTCGAAAAGCCAAGAAGATGTTTGCCCATCGCCATGAATTTCAAACACAAGCAACCCTACCCTCCACCCCAACCCCAACTTCGCGGATTCTTTGCCTTTATTTCTCTCTCGCGTATAAAAAACTCCAACGAGCCCAGACGGCTCTACGCCCAGGACTTCCACGGTTTCAGGCTTAGGTCGTTGGTCTTTGGGCTAAGGGCTGCGGCTTCAGCATGCAGAAATGGGATCTGAAGCAAAGCGTAGGTAGCCACACGTACGGTTCTGCGCAGCTAGGTTGGGGCTTGCAGTGTCGGGGAAGCTGAGAATGAGTGGGCAAGGATGGCTTGAAAGCAGCTCTATTCTTTGGGGTCCTCGCCGAGAATGCAAACCCAGCATGCCCTGCAAAGTGACCAATCAAGAACCAAAATTGCCTTGAGGAGCTGAGCACAGAGTCTGCTAGAGTAGGCATGAATCACCAACGCGGCCGAAGCAGATGCATGCGAGGTCAGATCCTCGACTACAGACCCGAGCATTCAGAAGACTTCAGCGTGAAAGTTGTATCTGACAGGTGATGCCGCGTAGTCGATGCCGGTGCTCAGAACGATTTTGGGGTCCTCAATGCTGCCTCAGTGGCAATGTCCGAGTCTTCAGGTCAACCTCTCCGCGATATCCGTATAGTCGGTACAGAGGAATGCCGTCATCAATTCGTTTTCCCGAGTCTTCAAACCGAATCTAGTGCCGGTCCCCGAAAGCCCGATAGAGAACCGGTGACCCACACACAAGACGTGCGTAAGTATAGGGGTTCAGGGTGTAGGGTCAGAATGCTTATTTGCAGGGAAGTCGAGTGTAGGTAGGAGGAACACTCGGAAGGCACCCTACGGTAGTACAGGTCAACCTTTGGTCATGAAATCTCAGGAAACCCTAACTCTCACTTGAGTCCTGAGCCCTACAGTCCGTGCCGGCCGAAATCCTAACTCAACCCTGCTAAACCCCTACACAGCCGTACAGATCCACCCGGCAAAATCCCAGAACCCCACAAATCCTGAAGCCTCACCAGCTCAACCTGAACCCCTACCCTAGATCCTGAAAGCTCCACGCCCCGAACTTGGTGCCAGGACGCAGGGCTGTGGCGTAAGGAGGGAGACCACGTAGGCCCAGTGGCTATCTGGCTGCCCACGGACTTCGATAACATCCTTTCGGCAGATGTGGGATAAACCAAAAAAAGTTCCCCCAAAAGTGGAATTGCTGTGGGGGTACCACAGTGAACGTAATTATATATCAACAAGCGGCTCTGGCAGTCCGCACTTGTGCTTCCCTGCTGCCCCAGTGCCGGGCCACCGGGCTGTGCCCCAAAACGCTTATGGACTCATGGGCTGGTCTCGGGATCCTGTGGATCCTGGAAGGGTTTTTGGGGATTCTTGGTACGTAGTGGACTGCTAGGCGCGGTTTGGCTGCATGGCGTCTATGCTGGGATACGTCTCTTTTCGAGTCTTCTGGTGCAGGGTTGATCCAGATCAGAAGATTGCTGCAGCCTTTTTGCCTACGTAGGGCCTGTAGTGTGGCTTCAGTGATTACGTGCAAAACGATGTCCGTTCTTCGCGGACATCTTTTGCGACGCTTTGCTTGAGGTCTTGGCACTCAGCTTGGAGCGGGGGGATCCCGAAAGCATGAGTAAGCCCCCTAAATTCTGAGGCCAAGGATCTGTGTCGTCAACCACCACCTTCGTCCACATGGCAAAGCCGGAAAAACGACAGCTTCCGTTTGGATCCACCTCAGCGTCAGGGTCCAGAGTAAAATTTATGTATATAACGCCCGAATCGGGCTTTTGGCTTATATACCGTCGTAGAAAGGAACACATGAAGAAACAATCAAACATATAAGCACATATATATAGAAAAACTGTATATGATAAACACGTATTTGTATCGTTATACAGACGACCTCCACGGAAAAGTACGCATCCAAATTATGATTAAGGCCCCTCGGTTTGGCTTGAGTTTTTGAGATAGGACCAAAGGTCGGCACGGTAGGGGCCTTTATGTGACAGTCAGATAACTTCCGGGGCACAGGAAAATACATATCCAGTTTCAACTTGGCTCCTTGCTGGAGACACTTAGCTTCTGCGAAGCCTTCTTCCATCCCCTCTGCCATCCATCCTAAACCCTAAACCCCAAAACCACCATCCCTCAATGCCGAACATATCCAAAACTCCGAGATCTACAACAAACTAGGCCCTAATCTCGTAAACCCTTTTTGCAACTGGCCGGCTGCGACTCCGCCAGGACGAACACTTGACCACAATCACGTAAACCCTAAAGCCCTAAGCCTGAAGGCTTAAACTCGAAAATCCACCAGTATCCAGAGTCCTTAAGACTTCTTTGTGCAAAAAGAGAGAACGGTGAAAGCAAAAAGGTCCTTCTTTTACACCCAGAACTCAACAAACACCAAATCCCTAAGCCCTTCTTCAAGTCTTAGATTAAACCCTAAACCGATAACCCCCAACCCTTCAATTCCTAGGTCCTAAGCCTTACAGATTCCAACAAACTTCAGACATTCCTGCACCTTATAAAGCCGAAGGTCCCGCAAACCTTGAAAGTCTAAAATCAAAATCGGAAATCCTAAACCACAAAAAACCCTAAGTTTCCCCTCAAACCCCGAAGCCCTAGATCTCCCAAAACCTTACGATCCCCCGTTCACCGCGACCTTGAACTCGAGGGTCTTCTGCTGCTGACGTGATGTCTCCGATTCGGTATTGCCTGGGTTCGGGGTGAAAGGCTTTGGCCTTGATAGGGCTTTAGGGTTGAACGGCCGTAGTATTGTAGGGCTCCAGAGCTTTATCCTGAAACTTGGAGGGCACTGCATGTTTAAGACAGATTAAGGCGTTTAGCCTTGGTCAAGGCTTTAAGGCTTCATAGGGTGAGCACTCGCAACAAGGCAGAAAGCCGACATCTCGCTTTCCTTGAGTCAGGGTTTTAGGGCGTAAGGTTTCAGGCTCTGTTTGGCCAGGCCTCAGCGATTAGGGCTTGTGGCTTTAGTCTGTAGGTGTTTCAGGAGCAACATCCACGGCATAGCACATCCCCGAATAACACACTGCGAAGCCTGGCCATAATGTGTAGATGAATACGCCCCAGGCAGCCAATCCAAAGTCCATCCCCCATAAACTCTCCGTACAAAGCCTAAACCCACGTAAACCTAAACCCTATCTGACCTGTTTCTCAAGTTGCAGTAGTCAAAGTTTTCCAGAATCTGCGGCTCCGCAAGAAACTCCTGAGTAGCTCTGCACCGAACCCAGTCTTTTGGTGGACGGAGTGAAGGAGACTTGGGTTTCCAGCAGTGCGGCAGTATACCCGTTTCTGCAAAGGGCTCACACTAGCTTTTGTCATTGACTCCTGGAGTAAGCTCGGTCGGGGTCGAGCGCGCGGGCGAAAGGTTTGCATACTCGATGCCCTGATTTAAGCCGCCGGATCACCGCGATGCCGCGCATGCCAGCAAGGCACGAATACTGCATGCACTAATTCCTATATTCCTGCAGAACCAGACCATCAAAGCTGTCGAAGCGGCACTTACAGAGTGTCCTAATCAACCGACACACTGCTTGAACATTTTCACAAAGGAAGAGTGCAGCTGTGGGGCAGCCGTCATGGAAAGCAGCTTTCTGAACTTTCAACTGCGGCACCAGCTCTCGAGCCTTTGTGCCTTGAGTTGCGAACCTCATGAACAAGATACCGGAACCCCCGAGTCCTTTCATACATCAACCTCACTCACTTCATTCACTTCATTTCATAGAGAGCTGAGTTAGTTTTGGGTGCCGTCAAAGCCTTTTTTGGACATGGTCTGCATCGAACCGGTTCAACCAAAACAGAGAAAAGACGTATCACAGCTTCAGGCTGGACGCATCTCCAGGGCTCCATGTTGCTGTTTCAACCCTACCGTCTTATGATGTCTTATGAAACCTCCGTGGCTTTCGACAACAGAGCACGCCAAGCCTTCAGGCCTCGGGGGTATAGCTAAAGGTCTACTGCCCTAGGGTGTCGTCCAAACGGTCTTTAAACCCTGGAAAAACCCTTAACCATGAACCCTAAACCAGTCAAAGGGTCCATGTTCCCCTCGTCCGAGGATTTGATCCTCAACGGCAGGTTCGTCCCAGGCGCTGGCGTGCCTCCGTGGTTTCATAAGACGTTCGGAGTCTAAGGCAACAAGGCTTCAGGACCAACCCGAAGTTTTAGGCTTTTCGGCTTTTCAATTTTTGGGGCTTGAGCCCCGACCTTCCCCCAAACCTTGAACTGTACACCAAATGCACACCAAATGACTGGCCAAACCTGACTTCGTAACAAGGCCGCTGAAGGACACCGATTCCCTCACGCAACAAGGCCTGGCAAGCGCCAAGACCAAGCTCGAGGCTTTAGTTGGCCTCTCTGTCCGAGAGTGAAGGCCAGTAGCCAGTCATCTAGCAAAACGAAGATGAAGGATGGCTATGTAAAAAAAG